GCGCCCGCCGCGCTCGATGGTTCCTTCGCTGGAGCAGAGCGGCGCACGGAAGCGAGCGCGGACCAGGAAGCAGAGGTTGCTTTGGGTCCTGCTGGCCGGGAAGCGTTTTCGTCTCGGTTGCTTCGGAGGCTTCAGAGAAGGGAACCGAAGAGAAAGAGGGAAGGATGTTTGCAGGGCAGAAGGTGTTGCAAATGGTTTTTACCCCCAGTTTTGCTGGTTTGCGGCTTTGCTCACGTAACACCCGAGTTTGCTTATTCAAATTTATTGAATAGGGTGCAGTTGCCCCAATTCGCCCAACAGGAAGCCATTGTTTGCTTAATCGTGGTTTATTGCTGATGAATAAATCTCAGGACAGGCAGCTACGTTGTCAGCTGAGCATCGCTCTCCTGAGGCTCTTCCTGAAGGGAATCATTGGGCAGATCAATAGCTGGGCCTGCAGGAGCAGAAAAAGATAAGAGATTGTGGGAAAACACCCATCCAATGGAGAAGGATTTCTGAACAAGGGTGCAAAAGGGGTGCTGAAGGACTGCAGCTATGCACGTGGGCTGTGTTCAGGCAGGTAGCCCATTCTGTGAATTTGCACAGTGCGGTGAACTATAATCAAATGGGTTGTGTTCACCACAGGGGTGTGGCAATCAAATGGGTTGTGTTGGTGTTGCAACAAACTTGGATGATGATGGGCGTTGTGATGTCATCCCACAAAGGATGTAGCTTAGTTCTCGAGTCCCTACATCGGTTGCAAATGTGTAATCCATTTTTGTCATGACATCTACACGGCTGTGTCATTTGACCACCTCCTTTACAGTGTGAAGTTCCCAACACACTGAAACACACACATACAAAACCCAAACCAAGGTTAAACCTAACCAAGCGTATTGTGTTTAACTGACCTGGTTAAATGTTCTACAGCCATGCAGACCTTGGCATTGAGGACATTTACCCCTGAGTCAATCTTTGGGGGACAGAACTGCAAACAAGGCAGGTTTTTTACTTCTTAAACTGAGATACTACAAGTTGGGGCAAAAGGTTGGGAGGCAGAATTCTGCATCTCCTAATCTACTGTTCAAAGCTGCAGTGCAAAAGCGTGATGCGTGCGAATCTCCATGTCAAATTCAGTACCTTCCCCAGCCTGGGCAGTTATGATTAATTATTTATTTTATTTATTTATTAAATGTATATGCCGCCCATTTCCTCCAGAGGGTGACTCTGGGCAGCTCACAAAATCCAAAACAATAAAACAGTAAAAATATAAATATCCATATTAAATTAGCTAAAAAAAATAATTCTATATAAAGAGACGATGTACAGTTCAGGATGGTGGGGGGAGCAGTATTGATTATCCCACCAGCCAACTCCAATACTTATCGGTTAGATTATATCACACTTTTTCTCCAAGAGCCCAAGGCAATGTGTCCCCTTTCGTTTCATTCTTACAATAGCCACATTGTGTGGCTCAGAGAGATTCAGTAGCACAAAGTCACTTGAATCTGGATTTTCCTGCCATGATTTTAGTTCAGCCACAATTTCTTATTGATTTTCAGTTCTGTACAAAGAAAAGTGGGGAATCTTCTCCTCCTCCTTTTCAGACCTTCCAATGTCTCAGCCAGATGCTGACTGTAGCAGGATTTAAATTCTTAGCACACATGGTTGATTTATCAACTAAAGCAAGTATCTAAGCCATTGCATCAATCCTAGACTGCTTTTCAATTATGGAGAATCATTTACCAGTCTGGTTTATTGATTATTTTATAACAAGCCAGGCATTTAACCTCCAGTGAACTTTACTACTACATCCTCAAAGCACTCTTGGTTTAAAACGGGCTCCCGTGAATGCAGAGGTTGGGATGGTACCTTACAGCTATCCTTCAGTGTGGTTTATTTAGTTTGGGTTTAAGGTTTTGAACCAAGATTTAGAGCTTAACTGGTCACGAGAATCCAGCCACTGTGGTTTATTCCACAAATCATCATTAGAGAAAACAGGGCTTAATGCAATGAGTGAATCCACCCAAGGTGAGCTTTTTTTTTTAAGCTCTAGTAGATATTCTTGTAATAACATCCAGAAACAGTCTTTATAGCAATGTTTCTCAACCTTGGCAACTTGAAGACGTGTGGACTTCAATTTCAACTCCCGGAATTCCATGGCTGTCTGGGGAATTCTGGGAGTTGAAGTCTACACGTCTTCAAGTTGCCAAGGTTGAGAAACACTGGTTTATAGGATTCTTTGCCTACAGTGAATTTAGCTTGGGCATCTATTTTGTATACAAATTGCAACCCTCATCTTTTCCCCATCTTTTCTCTATTGATTTGCTTTCCC